TGGATGAACTCGGTTCAGGTCGGTCGGGTCCGTTAAGAGGGTTGGACCGTTCGGTAGCAACACTGGCTGAGATATTAGAAGTCTCAGCAGAACCGGCCATCAGGGCTGGGCTTGCCAAACTGGAGCAACGAGAATTAGATCCGTTTGGTCGATTGTTACCTTCGTCAGGGTTTTGGATATCAGATTGAAAGGGGGGAAGGCATAGCCCCGTAGAGGAGTCCAGGTTATCGTAAAGGCGTCTGTGTGGATGGTTCACAGGTCGGGTCTCCAACGGATGTAATCCGCGAGTTGGTTGGTTAGACGACTCGCAAGCAGATCCGTCTGACAATTCAGCAGAAAAGGTTGAATAATTGTTGTGACCAACTTCCACTCGCTCATGTCCTTGAATTCTCTGGACTCCTTGTTCGCTGAGAAGTTGTCTCTTCCTGGGATGTGAGAAGCCATAACAAGGATGTCTTTTTCCTGACACCAATCCCACATCTCTAAAGCCAGAGTCATAAGTTGGGGGAACGTGTACCCCCATTGTTCTTGATGTAAGCGATGGTGGTCGTGTTGTCTAGCTGGAGAGATACGGTTACGTGAGACTTACCTTTGAGAAAGGTTTTTCAGTAAAGCCAAAAAAGGACGCCTTTAACTCTAGATAATTGATGTGTAGGAGACTCTTTGTGACCATCTGCCATTGGTCTGAAGGGATTGATGAACTGCACCCTAACCTTTCTTGCATTGAGGGTGTGTTTAAACCACCAAGCAAGTTCTACTCTTGCACTCGGTGACAGGGCAATCAAAGCGTCGTAAGATTCCTGGTTCATTTGTAGGCCCCTTATCAGATCTGACCGCTAGTGACGAAAGTGTAGTGGAGCTCGCCAAATGGTTGGTCTGGAGGACTCTAACAGGCCTATTAAACTTGCTAGGTTTCGCAATTTGATACTTTGAGAAACCAGCAGACTGCGACAACAGTGTAGAATTTTGTTGGCCTTTTCTGCCGGGAGTGATATCATGCATATTGAGTCGATTTGGAAACCCAGGAAGGTTATCACTTGTGTTGGAATCAGTAAAGATTTCTTGAGGTTTATTGTAAAACCTAGAGACTGAAGGAGAGTCACTATCAGCAGAGTATTTTTCACAGCTTCCTCCATTGTTGCAGCCAAAAGAAGAAAGTCGTCCAGGTAAAAAGGACTCGAATGGCCTTCCTCCTCAGGAATGTGGCAGCAGGTTTTAGAACTTTCGTAAAAATTCTGGGGGCTGAACACGGACCGAAGGGAAGAGCTTTGAACTGGTAACATGTTCCCTTCCAAAAGAAGCGAAGGAACTCTCGGGAAGACTCGTGAACAGGTACAGAAAGGTAAGCATCTTTTAAATCTATATATATTTGTCATGAAATTTCTGGTAAAAGCAACGTCTTTAGGCAACTGAGGTTTTCCATCTGGAAATGCTCGTTTACAATGAACTTGTTCAAAGAACGTAGGTCTATCATCAGACGCAAGAAACAGGCAGTTGTAAAAAACCGTCTCTGGTAAAAGGGGTCTTCTGTATGGCCCCTTATTGCAATAACTCGTTCACTTCCTGGGATATTAGGAGTGCCTCCAGACCCGATGTTTGGATAAATGGTGGAGACTTTTGAAAAGGAGTTTTGAGGAAACTTATCTTGTAACCTGAAACAAATGAGGGAATCTGTGGATCCGATGTTAGGATTCTCCAAGACACTATGCACTCTGAGAGCCTGGCTGAAGTCCCTTCTGGGGAGGGGGACGAAAAAGCCCGTTTTTTGAATGAGGCCCTTGGTAATTTGACTGAGATTTAGAAGGGTTTGAATACCCATTGGATTGATACTTGTTAAAGGTGTCTCCCCGATGTCTGCTTTGGGACTGGAAACTATTACTACGTCTGGAAAAGGATTTTCCTGTAGTCTGTGCTAACTTTTTCGTGATACCCCCTGTCAACTCGGCCTGTTTTGAGGCCAAGGAGGGGAAATCATCTCCAAATAGCCATGACTTTGCATTAGGCAGTGGTAGTTCCGCGAGGTTTGGCCTTGAACGGTTTATGGCTGCAAGGACTGTCTGTCGTCAGCATAGACAGCTGAGCATTGGCTGAGCCTAAAAGTCAAAGAGCTTGTTCAAAAGCTATTTTAATTTCCTCATAAGGTGGAGCTGAATCATTTTCGATACAATCATGAAGGTCACAAAGTGGGTCTGTGACAATTAAGAAAGCACACTGAACATTAAACATTTCCTTATCCCTTTCTTATACAAACTTTTTCACTTTAAATTGTTGATCGAGTTTTGGAGCAGAGAGTGCATCCACTTCAGGAGTTGCCCAGTCATCCAAAATAACAAGAGATTTCTGGTAAGATAAAAGATAATTTTCTCCGAAAATTGGTATCCGGAAACTTGGAGAAAGAAGCTCATGGTTTCCGGGAGGTTGACTTGGCAACTGGGTCGAACAGCCCATGATCATCACTAGATTTCGTTGAGTTTTCAGCGTCGTCAGATGTCTTAATAGACTCTGTTGGTGCCTTAGTAAACACTACGGGTGCCTGAATAGGTTCTACGGGGGCCCCAACGGGCGTAGTAGCAGTCTTCAAAGACACTTCGGTAGCCAAAGATTCGCTAATCTCCAAGCCTGACCATAGTTAATAGAGGGAAGTGGTTAGGAAGGCCGGTAAACATCAAAAAAGCAAACAAACAGGCTAAGATTTATGTTAGAAGGCTCTTGACCCTGCACATCTTTTGTTTTTTGCTCATTGACTATGCATGAATTACGTAATCGCAATGTTTCCACTGGTTAGTTGCATGAGCAGACGTAACCATCTTTTGTATTTTGCCAAGTTCTGTGCAGGGTCAACCCCCAAAATAGCAAACAAAAACATACAACAAAGAACTTTGCAAAGTTTCCTAACCATTTCCCTCAATTAACTATGGCCTGACGTTTCATCACAGGCGGCCCAAGCGCGAGATGAGAGGAAACAAGAAGATCTGTTAGATCTTATAACCGCGCTTTTTAAATGTGACTGTTTTCTTAGCACTACAGTCGCAATGCAGTGCACATTCCAAAGCAGTCCTTGATGATTTCGGTAGACACCATATCACTTGATCAACACAAACTGTATTCTTGCACCAGCAGTCGTAGCCGTTGTGAAATCTCCGATGACGTAATGGTCTTAATCTGGAACTTTCTTCGGGATATGTATGGGCATGAAGATACGAACAATATTAACGACAGCTTTCTTTCTTAAAGGTCACAATTAAATTTAATTGTTTTTTCCCCTTGAGTAAAGGGCTAGCAAAGAAGTCACACGAGTCTCATAATTCAAGAATTGCGTTATCCACGGCTACCTTTATTACGGTGGTTATTTCCCTATCAATGACGTAATCCTTGCTTGCATGTTCTGACAAGAAGATCTGTTTGATCTTATAACCGCGCTTTTAAAGTTTATCTGTTTTCTTAGCACTACAGTTGCAACTCAGTGCACATTCCAAAGTAATCCTTGATGATTCATTGATTACTCTAGACACATCACTTGAGCAACACAAACTGTACTATTGCATCATCAGTCGTAGCCGTTGTGAAATCTACGATGACGTAATAGTCTTAATCTGGAACTTTCTTCGGGATATGTATGGGCATGAACGATATGAACGATACGATAATAAGACTGTATTAACAACAGCTTTCTTTTTTAAAAGTCATGATTAAATTTAATAGGTGTTTTCAACGAGTAAAGGGCGAGCAAAGTAGTCACACGAGTCACGTAATTTAAGAATTGCGTTATCCATGGCTATCTTTAGTACGGTGGTTATTTCCCTACCAATGACGTAATTCTTGCACGTTCTGACACATTCTTTGCTTGGCTTGCAAATATTTATTAATTTTCCTTCCGATCTATGAACTCGCTGCGATGAAACAGCCAAAGAATCTACATCATTTGCCTAAAACCACAAGAAATACTTGCAAAATTGCAAATAAATTAATGACCGTCGCTTCTCGCGAAATAAACTTGCAAAGTAAACACGATCTTATTTGTCACGTAGCGAAAGCGAAAGCTGCAACGTCAACGCATTCCATGGCTGACGTAATACCTTTTTTTAGCGTATTTACTATTCCCTTTGAATCCAACGCCTTGATAAAACCAAAAGAAATATAGTTTACTCACAACAAAGAAAAAAATATCCGCAATATTGTCCGTGTATTAGTGTTTTAACAGCTTCTGACGGAAACACATTACACGTTGCGTGACTCAAAATTTGGCTGAGAGGAAGTTTGGGTCTGGTCACCGACAAAACTAAAAAAATAATAATAAACAAGAAGATCTGTTAGATCTTATAACCGCGCTTTTAAAATTTAACTGTTT